TTTTCCAAGTCCAGTTAACAGTGAGCTTGTAATTTTACTGAGAGATCTGACTTTCTTTTCTTGTTTAGCCTGGTGTGAGGAATCCACCAGTGATCCACTAGTTGTAGTTACACTTGGTGTTTGGACATTAGGTATGGTAGGTGATGCTCTCTCTGCTGCTGGTGTAGAGTTTTCCAACCCATTCCCAAACAACTTCATTTCCATATCATCTTCCCATTCTTTGCATAACCTTGCCATCAGTTTTTCATCTTGCATGTTTTGATAATACCAGGCCATTGCATCATCAATATCAACTGCTGGACCACATGCTTGCATTGCTGCTTTGGCTTGAACTTCTGATAAGCCTTCATCTACCAATTCTTGCAGAATTGCCTTAACCTTCTTCAGATCCACCCCACATTCCTCTGGCATGTCCGTCATCTTTTCCAGCTCAGGCTTAACTTCTATGGGTTCCATTTCCATTTCCTCCTGATAATTTTGAGAACCAACTTCCATGAATGCAGCATTCAGAGCTTCTTTCACATCTGATTCAGTACAACTGTCCTTTAAACTAGCCAACAAAGTATACACACCAGCAGCCATTTCTTTTTCATTCGACATCAGTTTAGACAACTCACGCCTTAGAATCACAAGCTGTTCAGTTGTGAAGTAATTCAATTGATATATCTCAGAGCGTTTCTCCTCCACATATTCAAGCCACTCTTTAAGACAGTTTTCCATAAAATGACATAATTCATCTAGTTGTACTATTACATCTTTTGTTCCCATTAAGTCTTGTGAGTCACCAAAACCAAAGTCAACCATGACAGATACTTTTCTCTTACCACAGTAAATAAGTGCTTTCCATTCTGAGAATAGCACATTACCTGCGGCACATAACTTTATGTATAAATCGGCTAATTGTACAATTCCTGAGAGAATCTGGAATCAAAGTTAAGTACGAAAATTAAATTATTTGTAATTTGAATAAACAAAAGGAAAACTATCAAGGCATGATACTAACTCGCTTGCAGCAATTAAAAGTAAACATATAATAACACCAAAATATAGATACTTCTCATAATCCCCTTCCTGGGTATGAGCCCATCCCTTATTTTTAGACATTTAATGAGTTGAGGACATCTTTTGTTATATGCTCAGGGTGTTTATAAATAGGGAATTAATCTTATCATCATGAAATGATCAAATCCAAAACAGATTCAGAAAAGGTACTTTAATACATACATGTATAATATGCCAAAGCAGTTGAGCTGAATAGAAGATAACTTAAGATAGACCTCGGAAACAAACCTGTATAAACTTCATGTTAAACTGAGCATAGCTTTCATTACATTACCAGCATTACATGGTTTGTCCCCACGATTACTTTTAAAAGTGAGCGCACTCAAGCTTTCCATTGTTTGGCTTAATTCACGCTTACTTTTGAAAGTAAGCGTACACTCAACTCGTATCTTTGTGAAAACTGAGACGCTCAGTTACTGCGCTCAACTACCACCTAGAGACTCATTTTACATACCTCCCCATACATATCAATATCAAAGCATCAAAGCAATTGAGCTGGTAGTTTTCAAGAAAAAGTTGAAAATAGAATTGTTGATGAAGAACGGACGAGCAATATATCACCTAGATGAACAGCTCCACTCTGTCACCTTCGATGACAGCAGAGCAAAAAAAAAACAGTCATGGGACAGCTAAAAATTAGCTATCATGTAAATTAGGTAATTAATATGCATGGATTTCAACAAAAACCTAATCAAATCTGCACACTAGCACAGAGAATCTATGCATCAAGTTTCATCAAAAACCAACAGGCACACACACACACACACACATACACACACGCACACACACCCACCCACCCACCCGTACACGTCTTATCATTGATGTGACGACACACATTGGGTTAATTTTTAATAATAATTTTTTTAACTTTTTTTAATTTTAATTTAGTTACGTTATGTTTGGATTAAAATGCGACTCTATATAAGATTGTGATTTAATTAGAATTTAATTAAACTTAATTATAGTGCAATTCCACCTAGAACTGTTTTTAATTCAAGTTTAATTAAATAAAAGTAGACTTAACTATGTGACTTATTTATTTATTAATACTAATATAAATTGTACCATAACTTCCCCCTTTACTTACCCTAGCTATGCAAATTTAAATTTGATTAATTTAAATATTAATATAAATTATGAAAATAGTAAGGGTTGTCACTTGGTAGGATGTCACAACATTGATAAGACAAACGTACCCACATACATGTACAGAAGCACTACCGGTAAGTGCAAAAACTCCCATTGTGTGCTTCGCACACAGGAGTAAAAAATGCAACAAGGTAGAAATAACAAAAAAAATCCTGTGACATAACATAGAAATGTTAGTAAAGGGGGTAGGTATGGTACAGTTATTATATAGTATTAAACTTAAGCGCCCATCCCCACTTCTATTTTGGGGTTCACTTTCGACTGAGTGCCCATTCCCTCTAAAATGCTCCTAATTTAACTGTCTAATCCTAAAACCTGATCATTATTTTACTTTTCCAAATACTGAATGCGTAAACTGCACTTTGATCTGTCAACAAAAGTTCTTAAAAAAATTACGCCATTTATTCGTCAAAATCAATTCCCACAGATCGTACTTGGACATTGATAATTCACATTGATAATTGCATTACCAGAAAGTCTTTGATGAATTGCGATACATCAAGAGTTTGTGTACAATATCCAACACATTCAACAATGAAGACTCTAATATTGTTAACCTCGTAAATTCTGGTGGTACGTGATTAATATTGTAATAAAAATGGGCATATTTTTTGTGATCATTTTGGTTTTTTCATTGTAAAAGTGTTGTTGAAATAAATGACGAGGCAACTAATTTCTTGATTTTATTTTCCCTAAAAGACGTAATACCTCAATTTGTCACATGGTGAAAATTGTCATTTGCACTCTTTTTCGAATGGGTGCTCAAGAAAGCACTCACCCCCCTAAAACACATGATTTTTGGAGCCAAGTACTATGGGTGCTAAGTCGGGCTAGTACGGTACATACATACACACAGATGCACCAACCGCAAAGGCTCCCATTGTGTGCTTCACACACAAAAGTCAAAAATACCTCTGTAAATCTTTCGACTGCATCTCTTCCTCGTTTTTCTTCATTGTAAAAGTGTTGTTGAAATGAATGACAAGGCAACTAATTTCGTGATTTTATTTTCCCTAAAAGATGCACCCCCCTAAAACACATGATTTTTGGAGCCGTGTACTATGGGTGCTAAGTCGGGCGAGTATGGTACATACACACACAGATGCACCAACCGCAAAGGCTTCTCACACAAAAGTCAAAAATACCTCTGTAAATCTTTCGACTGCATCTCTTCCTTGTTCAGCTTTCCCAGCAACCAGCATCAGTTTACTCTGCAAATCTCTCAGCATGTCTAGATTGTACTTTTTATCTTTGATGACTGTCTTCTCGTCATGATCATCATTGTTCATTGTGGAGTCCTTATCAGATTGGAAGTGTAAGCTTATTACAGATTCCAAAGTATCCTGTGAATGAATGATGTATTGTCACCTATGCACAAAGCACTGTATTTTCAGTCAATGCATTTGTTGGATCAAATAATTTATACAGGCATATAAAATTGCCCAATCAAGCAATCAGAAGCACAGTGTCTGAGCCTAAGTCACGTCATATTCATGAGACATGTTCATCTGTTCATTTTTATTTTGAAAATCAATGCTAATTTTCTCACTTTAATAAGTTGGCTGATTACGCAGTAATCTGAGTTTAACGTAAAGGACTGGATGCACACCATCTCATCTTGCACTTCTTAATCTTAAGTCGTAACCCCGGTAACACTGGGCCCCACACCT